ATTTAATCACGATAGTGGCATCGAGTTGAATACGAGTCCGGGAAAACAAAGAGACTGAGGGTCGACTCACCAGAACCCCGACTGCTACTGATGAGTCTTTTCTCTTTACCCGCAGGGGACAAGAAACCAGGAAATGCCCTGCCTGTCCGCAGTATATGCACACTCCTGCTCAGACTCTTCGCAGCCGTTCTGCTGGGGAGAGACGACTGCGGCCCAACTGCATGGGTTCCTCTTCAGGGCTGGGGGAAGGGTTACTAGCGACCACACTAGATATAGACGAGGGTTCGGAACCCAGCTTGGAAAAAGGTGAAGGTACCGGGCGGGCAGCTTTCTCTGCCTGCGGCGCTCCCGCAGGCGATTATCTAGCCTGATGGCTAAGGCAATTAAGCAATTCAAGCTGTCCGACTCGTCTCTGACAGCCAACTCATCCTTAAATGCTTCGCTTAATCCCTTCTGAAAAACTCCCTGAAGTGACTCATCGTTCCAGCCTGACTCTGCTGCCAATGTTCTGAAATCCACTGAATACTCCTACACTGCGGGCACCTTGGCGAAGGGACAGTAGATGCTGACTGGCATCTTTACCATCTTTACCTAACAGGGTGATCAAAAACTTTCTGCATCTCTTCCACAAAACTGACATAGGAGGAGTTAATCCGTGGAGAGTCATTCCAAACAGCTGCACCCCAAGCTCTAGCCCTCCCAGTTAGCAACCCGACGATGAAAGCAATCTTGGACTTGTCCGTAGCATATGTCTGCGGCTGTAATTCAAAAACAAGAGAGCATTGCAGCAAAAAAGCTTGACAAGTCCCCAGATCACCATCATAATGTTCAGGTGCTGGGACATACGGCTCTCTGGGCAGATAAGACGGCATCACAGGAGGTGGACCAGGAACGGAGGGACTCGGACTAGTTGGAACTGATAGGAATGGGGCAGTACTGAACTGACTATCAATTCTAGACCTAGTAACGGTCAGACCTCTCAAAGTCTCCACGACTTCTCGGAGCACACGGTCATGTTGGCCAACGAGGGTTCCTTAGAATGCAAGGGCTTGGCGGAGATCTGGGGAGGTTTGAAGAAACTCATCCGAGATTGCTGGGTCAAAATCCTGGTCAGATCGTTCTGTCATGATTTAAACCGGTAATGACCCAAATGCAGGTTTGGACGACGTTAAGTGAGAAACAAGGATTTATTTTCTAATTCAACAGGAATCACAAAGAACAATAATTAAAGTCAATCTGGACGTTAGCGACCACGGTGGCTGAACAAACTATCTGACAACCAGTGGGAGAAAGGCCAGGGTTTTTATGCCGTCAGAGTGATGAGTTGATTGAAGGCAGGTGCTGAGGAACGGCAGTGTGCTTCAGTGATTAACCAGGCAGAGTCAGGGAAATGTGCCACGCCCACCAAACAGACAGAAACAAGTACACAACACAAGAATGGGGAAAACACAGGGAAACACAATGAAACACAGGGAATGACAGTCACGACTGTCATCGTGACATTTACAGAAATTAGGTATTAAGGGGTTCTCTGATGTTGACAAGACTGTTAAAACTGTTAAAATATATCCATTTTGTATTAATCGCCATTTTGTATAATCATGTTCAGCCAGCTGTGGACACTGCAACCTGTCTTAACCACTGAATTTTGAGTTTGTACACAATTTCTGAGTTGTTTTACAACATAAATGCCCCCTCAGATAAGCTCACTGAGGGGGCAGCTTGAGAAAGAAGAGTCTGAGATACTGAACACAGTGAGGGCATTCGTTTGTCCTTCTGCTTCGTCGACATCACACATGCAACTGCTTGTTCTAGATTGAGATATAGAGAGGGAAACACAATCGTAGGCAAGTCACAGTGCCTACGTGACTCGTAGGCAAGTCACGGTGACTTGCCAACGAAACCAGAAATCTCTGTAAATGGATGGGTTTAAGTCCAATTGATCCATGTGCCCTCTCAATCAACGATACTTCTGGTAAATCAAGTTTTGAACTAACTCTTTGATATACCCAATAATATATTTTCCTTCACTCTCCTATGGAATCCGGAATATGCAAATATTGTTTCTTCTCAGTCTGTTCTGGAGTTTTTCACATGTAGCTGAGAGCTCGGCTTCACAGTGAATCAAGCATCTCAGTACTCTGTAGTGCAGCATCGTTGTTTCTTCTAACGCACTGGTTCTATCTGCAACTCGAGTCACTCGTCCCTCTTGCTCCATTCGTTTTTTTAATATCTGTTACTGCTTGTTCCACTTTTTCAAGTGCCAATTTAGTGTCACTATTGTAGGTACATCCACAGCCCAGTTAAAACTCTTATTCCCAAAATCCCACTGCTTCCGGGAGGGACCACTGACGTCACACCCAGTGACCTCCGCAACCCTTAAAACCGGGGTACAGCCCAGGTATCATTCTCTCTGTTCAGGACTTTCGCTCCGTAGGACCTCGATGAAAAGAGAAAACCTGCTCGTCTCAGAAGACTAAGAACCAACGCGCTTTTGTAGACACCATTGCCCACGGTGATAAATGCACTAGTAGCGTCTTTTTCTTAACTGAGTTAACCGGTAATTAAGTTACACAAGTAACGTAGCGCTGCGACCAAAGCAGTTATTGAAAAGTTAGAAGCGACAGGATTCCTTCTAACGGTATTCGTGTGAACCGGCACATCGACAGTCAGAGACTTTTCCTCCTGAAACGGACTTTCGGAACCAAGAGGACTCTCTGGACACAGTGGAACCAGACGGACGTCCCCAGCTCTGGCAAGGACCCAAGAAGCACGGACTTTCCACTACCCTCTAAATACGAGCAGACGTTCACTACAGTAAGGCTGGCATTTGGGCACGTTAGTTAATCTGTAGTATTGTTAAGTGCTATTTAAACTTAGGGACAGTTTAAGTACGCATATTGAATTTTGTTGTCTGAAATCTGTGCTGCTTTTATAGCTAGGCTGTTGCATGCACTTCTTTTCTAACCTCCTGACTCGGTCTTATACTCTTGTACACCGTCAGTATTTCAGTGTTAACTTGTAACGTTATCAGTATTGGGATCAGGAAAACTCCGACAAAGTCCTTTGTCTGGAGTAGACCACGCGGTACGCCTCCCTTCCCCCATATACTTTGATAACATCACAAGCACTGTTTCATTGTACCTGAGCGCATCTTGGTGCGCGTACACAACACCCATTCACACCTCCGTGAGCGCATACACGCCTCACGTGTTTCCTGTTGCCGTTCCTTCTACCTCGCAGTTCTTCTTCCACTGCGCAGTCGCGTATGTGAACACGCCTCAAGGGCTCAGTCGCTTGCTTGGTAGCTGAGAGGCAACATCTCTCTCTCTCTTTCTCTCTCGTACACGACCGCTCGTGTACACACGCACATAAGTACACACACACCCCTACACACACGCCTTGTTTTGTTATAATGATCATTGTTTATGAGTTCAATCACCGTCATTAACTTGACAGTGTTGTATAAATAAATTTGATTATTTTTGTAAACTGTATTTGTCTGTGTTGTTACTTTATTCATTGAAGCCACCCAATTTGCCAAGAACTCTCAAAATCCTTCAGATATTTAATTGTTATTGGATACTATTGATTTTAGTATATTTGTAATACTTCAAGTAATACATTATTGCTATATTAGTAGGTTAAAATAATAATTAAAGATAACTTTAATGAGACTGGTTGTGTTATTAATTTGAGACTGGTTGATAACACCGAGTGCTCCTAAGCAGCACTCGACCCATTGCACCTACAATTCTTTGAGCTTTAAACAAATAAAAGGTAAATACAATGACCTTTGTTTCTGTATTTGAGCTCTTTGTGTGTGTTAACATATCACTTACTTAGCTTACTGCTAAGAGACTTTGGTTGATCTCAGCTCCTTCTATGCGACTGTGTCTGTTTGTTTTTTTGGTGTCTGATGCCCTTTCACTTCCTGCCAGGTCTATAAACCACATACTGCAGGCAAGAAAGACAGATACACGTGTCTCATGTTGTCATTAAACACCATGTGAAATAGTTTTTTAATAATAAACATATGTGACCATATCAAGTGATGGACATACCTGCCAACTGTCTGCTGGTTTGGAGAACGAGAAGAAAGCGGATTTGCTCCACTTGTTCCCTGTGTGTGCTCCTAGCTGCCGTGAGAAATCACCTTTTCAAGATGAAGGAGGTGACAGTAGGACAGAGAGACCAGAGACAGATACAGAGGGAAGTGATCAGGGTATGTAGTCATCAATACACCATACTAAAACTGTATATGTGCAATAACTGTATAACTAGCATTACCTTGTGTAATAGCAAAAATGTCCACAGTCTTGATTTTCTTTTTGGAGTTTTTTCAACTCCTCTAATTTTTCTTCCTTTTCTTTATCTTGGTCCTTCTTAGGTCTTATTTACTTTCTGACATCATTTAATATAGTTGTAACTTGTCTTTTTAAAACCTTTCGGCAAAGCTTTGCTTCTAAATCGTTGGCTATACCATGACATCACCGAAAGTCCATTTTATGTAATCTTAACTGATCTAAATAATTTAATCTC